GGTGTCTGCTGAGAAAAGCCGCTCTGCGTCTCCCTGGTCTGCTGGGGGGAGGGGGGGCGCTAGCTTCGCGTCTCCCTGGTCTGCTGGGGGGAAGCAGCTAGTGCGGGGTTGCCTCACCCTGTTTGTAAGTAGGGATCCGATGTAAGTCGGATCCATGTAACCCGGGGACTGCCTGTACATTGGACAAACGTCTCAGACACTTCGCCAAAGGATCAATGCCCACAAAACAGATATTAGACAGGATCACAAAGAAAAAACAGTTTCTTGCCATTTCAACCAGAAAGGACATTGTCTCAACGACTTGATTACCTGCATCCTGCTTTAAAGACCCACACTTGAAAGAGAATCCTCTGAACTGACATTCATGCTTAAATTCGACACTTTATGCCTAAGTTTAAACAAAGACATTAATTATCTTACCCATTACAAAGATAGCTTCCCCCAATTATCACCTCTAATATCATTAGCTCACAGACATTTACCTTCCCGGCCCATCTCTCTTCTGTTCTGAAATTTGATTTGTCCTTTTCATATGTGTTCGTTTTTTTTTTTTAAATTGTATCCTTTGGTATATATGGTTGTGACAATTTTCTTCCACTATTTGATCTGAGGAAGTGGGTCTGGTCCACGAAAGCTCATCATCTAATAAACCATCTTGTTAGTCTTTAAAGTGCTACATAGTCCTGTTTTTTTTTACTGTCAGTCTGGTGAGAGCAGAGCTTGGGGGGGTGTCAGCCCCTCCCCACTGGGAGAGAGATGTGCGGGTGGAGGGCCAACTAGTATGTGAATTGCCTCCCAGGAGAAGGCCGGTGCGGGGGCAGTGGGAGGAAGGTGTGGAGGGCGCAGGGGTTTATATATGTTTTAATTGTCTCTAGTTGATTTTCTTGTTCAGATGCTTTGCTGGCAGAGCTGGAAAAAAGCTCTCAGGGCCCCAAAGAGGAGTACTGCCTGCTGGCACACAACTACAGTGAGCAGAGACCAGCCGCCGCAGCACCCAAGACGGGTGCTCTCCCGAAGGAGCAACCAGTCACCCCAGGGACCCGTAAGGTATTCCTCCCAGTGCCACCAAACAAGGGACCCGCCAGAAATCCATCCTCTACAACAGAGAGGCTGAGACCCCACAGAACTCAGCACATGAAAGCTGTCCCATGCAGACCCTCACATCTGTGCCCTTGCTCTTTGTGTTTCCAGGTACTGCCTGTGTTAAGCACTCAGCCCCCACAAGCAGATCACAAAAATGTCTACAGGTAAGAATGGTCCCGGGAAGGGAAAGCTAATTTATCGATCCTTCCCGTACACTCGTCGGCTGCTCCTCACGGCTTCCTTCTCCCCCGGGATGCTTAATGAAAAATTAATCTACCCTGATCCCCGGCCGGGCTCAGACAGTGTTGGGTGGAGGTGACACTGCCCCATTCTAGCCCTTCTCTGGTGGCCTGGTCAGTTTCTGCAGGATCTCAGCCTGAGTGATAAAGAAGCTTCCAACCCTTTGGTTGTTCCCATTTCAATCTGAACACGTCCTAATTCTGGGCTGAGTCTGCAAGCAGGCAGGTGGAACACCGAATAAAGCCCCATCCCAAGGCACAGAAAGGCCGAATTGTGGCAGATGCACCTGTGTGGAGGAGGGGCTTGGGGACACAGCAGTGAGCAGGAGTTACCAATGGAACTGCCATTATACAAACCGGCTTACCACCCCATCCCTACCCACCTGCGGGAGGTGGAGCGAATCCACAACCCCTGCTTATAACCAATGGACGGGTAGTAGTGACCACAAAGCAGCAAAACTGCACCAAGCTACTAGGTGGTGCCTGTGTGCCCAAGCCTTCTCAGCTGTCTGCCAACGTACCCTCCATCCATGTGTGGAACATTTTATATATGCACTGAGGCACGTGTGAATGTGCACCACCAGGCGAAACACAAAACCTAACTCTGGGTGCTTCTATATGTTTTGTTAGTCTATAAAGTGCTACCAGACCCTTTGTTGTTTTTTTCACTAATCACTGGAATCTCTGCTGAGCGGTTGCACAAGTGCACACCTTGCAGGAAACGCTGCGTCCCTATACTGCCCGGTGTGCACTGTGGCACGGTGCGGTGGGAAGGAGGTGCACTTATGGGTCAATTATTTATTTGTGTTACGGTAGCAGAGAATTTGATCAGGATTGCCCCATAAGAACATAAGAACAGCCACAGTGGCCAATGCCAGGTGCCCCAGAGGGAGTGAATTGAACAGGTGATGATCAAGCGACCTCTCTCCTGCCATCCATCTCCACCCTCTGACAAACAGGCTAGGGACACCGCTCCTTACCCATCCTGACTAATAGCCATCAATGGACTTAATCTCCATGAATTTATGTAGCTCTTTTAAAACCTGTTATAGTCCTAGCCTTCTCAACGTCCTCTGGCAAGGAGTTCCACAGGTTGACTGTGTGCTGTGTGAAGAAAAACTTCATTTTATTTGTTTTAAACCTGCTGCCCATAAATTTTATTTGGTGGCCCCTAGTTCTTATATTATGGGAATGAGTAAATAACTTTTCCTTATTCAAATAACTTTTCCTTATTCAATTGTGCTAACAGTGGTACACGTGGCAAAACCGCCTCTAGCCTGAAGGCCTTACAGTTTTTCATTAAAATAGTTGACTTAGGAGTGATTTAAATGTCATTGCTGAGCATTGTACAAGAAATATCCAGCTACTAGAGGTCTGTGGTGTGAGCAGGACTTGAGAAAGGGGGTGGTGGCTGGGGAGGCTGTAGGTCAGGCTGGGCATGGGGGTGATATATGGGTGGGGAGCACGGCTTGTCTATGGGGTGTGTGCTTGGTATGCGGGTATGGCTTAAGGCAGGGGTTGCACCTGGGTGTGTGGGTGGGGCATCATGGAGGGAGTGATAGCTGGGTGTGTGGGCGTGGCTTGACTGAGCAGGTGATAACTGGATGTGTGGGCGTGGCTTAAGGGAGTTGGACCTGGGTGTGTAGGCGGGGCATCACAGGGGGAGTGATATCTGGACGCGTGGGCGTGGCTTAAGGGGGTTGGACCTGGGTGTGTAGGCGGGGCATCACAGGGGGAGTGATACCTGGATGCGTGGGCGTGGCTTAAGGGGGGTTTTGGGGAGGGGGATGGCACATGGGTAGAATACCCCCTCCCTAGTTACCAGTTCTTTCCCTCTCCTTCCTCCTCTACTAGTGGCTGGGTGTACACCTCACCCTCCAAATATCCAGATCCGTCCCCACTCCTCCCTTCCTGCCACTAGCTCAGTGACCATTGCTCACTGCCTGGCTATTGAGGGAAACGCTCCCTGAACGCTATAGCTCCCTCCCCAGACACATCCCCATCTGCCATGCCCTCCACTCACCGGTCCCTGACTGTATTTAGTGCCTGTCTACATGGGGACACTCAGGCAAGTTAATCCAAATGACCTTGTAGTCCCCACTCCTCCCTTCCTGCCACTAGCTCAGTGACCATTGCTCACTGCCTGGCTATTGAGGGAAACGCTCCCTGAACGCTATAGCTCCCTCCCCAGACACATCCCCATCTGCCATGCCCTCCACTCACCGGTCCCTGACTGTATTTAGTGCCTGTCTACATGGGGACACTCAGGCAAGTTAATCCAAATGACCTTGTAAATGGGTGAGTTAAACTGCATGAAACCCCCATGTGGACGCTCTCATTTGGAATTGCAGAGCCCTTAATTCCGTTTATCTTAACTCACTTCCTGAGCGGACGCACCCAGCACCAGCTCTGTGGGCCTGGCGATCGCTGATGGTGGGGAGATGTGTTTGTCTCCTTTCTTTAGGGGTGTCCCTTGCCCCCCGCTTGGCTTCCATGCCCACTGGGGTGGGCTCCGTGCTTCCAGAGAAGCCCTTGGTTTCCTGGGCTCTGGTGGTGGCAGGGAGGGCCTGGCTGCTGGGAGCCGGGCAAAGGGGGTTTGAAGTCGTGACCTGCTCTGCTGTTCAGCGCGGGTGTCTCTCTTCCCCCTGCAGCCAGCTTCCAGTGGCGCAGCTGTCCCTTCCTTCGCCGCCTCCTCCCACGGCTGCCCAGCAGCTGGATGACCTCTTAACCCATTTGGGCCAGATGCAGTCCAAGGTGAGTCCTGGCCACGTGAGCCCAGAAGACCCAGGGGCAGCACTTTGCAAAGCCTCAGTTGAGATGCAGGCCCTGGGCCAGATTAGCCTTTTGGGGGTCCCACGCTGCTGGGCTGTAGCCCCTACCTCCTGCTCCAACGGTACTCTGCTCCGAGGCCCTGCCCCTCAGCTCTGCCCTGAGACCACGTCCTCAGTCAGCCTCTTCCCCAAGGCCCCACCCACTGCTCGTACAGGGGAGAGGGGACAGAGCGGGGTGAGTGGTGGGCAGGGCCTTGGGGAGAGAGGCTGAGCAGGGATGAGGCCTCGGGGTGGCACACAAGGAGAATGGGGGAGCAGGGCCATGGTCTGGGTGCCAGGGCCCCTCCTGAGCGTGGGCCCGGCCCTGTCCTGCCCCCCCTTTCAGCCGGCAATGGCAAAGCCTGCTGTTCCTCTCCTGCCGAAGGGGCCCCCCAGCAGTAGAAACAACTCCCTGGGCGAGGGACAGAGGGGGCAGCTGCCGGCACAGTCGCGGTGCGAACATGACACCAAACGTAGTCACCGCCCTGTCTCTTCCTTTGTGGCAGATCTCAGCAGCGGTTGCCACCAAGGAGCTGGAACCTGCCAAGGGACCGTCGGCAGTGGGGCCGACCTCCAGCAGCACCCTTGACAGCTTGCTGGGGCACCCGCCGTACCCAAGGGCAACTGTGCTTCCTGCCACAAACTCATTGTTGGGAAGGTGAGAGGGGAAGGGGCGGACCCCGGGGCTGCCTCTGAGGCTATCTGCGTGTCCCTCCATCCCGCCATCCCGCGGGGATAGCTCCTTCCACTCTGGATTGCTCAGAGCTACCTCCATTTCCCCCAGTCCCTCCTTTCCCCCCAAATTTCTATTTACAGTGGAGTCTCCTGCGGTCTCATCCACCATCTCTAGGACCATGCAGGGATGGGTGGAATCACAGAAATCTCCTTGGGACTGTTCCCTGGTATGCCACTGACACCTGTCTTCCTGCTGTCTGGGACTCCCCACCACCCTGTTCCTCTCGGCCAGATCCTCTGGTCTCCCCCAGACAAGACACAGAATTGGGGTTATCACCCCCCGCCAGAGCAACACAGATACTGAACCACTTAAGCTCCGGAAGGGGTCAGCATGCAGGAAACTACCCCCCAAAAGGGTCCAAAACCCCAAACAAATCTACCTTACCATGTGTAAAAGTTTTACCCAGTGAAAACTCATCAGATCCACTCACTTTATCAATGAAAGAGAGAGATGCACAGTGGTTGTTCCCCCAGGTAACAATTATTTACACTGGGCTTGATAATGAACACATGTGTTTTTATTCAGTATAAAAAGTAGGACTGAAGTAGTTGCAAGTGAAAACAGACAGATCAAAGTAAGATACTACATTGAACTGAACAAAAAATGCTTAGCTAGTTCTAATCCACTAAGAAACTTGATTCAAGCAAATTCTTACCTTAAACAGCTGTTCTTATCTCAGGCAAAAGCTTCAATCAGAGTTGATCTTTACTGGTGCTTGGGTTGAACTGTTCTTCAGGTATCCTCTTGGGGTGGGCGAGGAGGTTTCAAAGGCCAGTTGAAGACAAAGGACTGATGATGACCCATTGCTTAAATAGACTTTCCCCCAGGGTGGGGATCCTTTGTTTGGCTTCCCCCATCCCCATGGAAAAATACCAGGTTCAAGATGGATTCCAGGTGGCATGATCACATGACTTTCCCTTTGGGCTTATAGGATGAGTTCAACTATTCAGAGATTGTTGATTAGATCAGTGTTTCTCAATTTTTTAAAATAAAGTACCCCTTTTTCAAAAAAAAAAAATTGTAAGTACCCCTTTTAAAAAAAATAAAATTAGAAGTCCCCCTAGTTCCTACAGTTTTCAGACACACACAATTTTTTTCTTCCGTTGCAACACATTTGTTTAAACAACTTAATCGTAGCCAGGCAAGCGATGAAATTCTGGGGTGTAAAAAGTACAAAAATAATAAAACGCTGTAAAACTTACAACAAAAATTCAGTTTTCTCCAAATTTCAGTTGTGTTGAAGTACCCCGCGGACTTCTCTCAAGTACCCCTCAGGGTACTCGTACCACTGGTTGAGATCACCAAGCATTATGTGTCCGGGCCTCAGTGGTGTCCCTCTTTAGCACATTTAGAATTATAAACAGATCCACACTTCATATTTCTAGCTTATCATAGAATGATACATGCACAGAAATAGGCCACACAGGCCCTGCAGCTTGTAACTGTAAAATGGAGATGTTACGTGAGGTATTTTGTCTAAAGCATCTTTCAGTTATGCATATTCATACCCGTAAGACAGTTTTCATAAAGCATGAGTGGGCCCATGACCCATGCGAAGGTCCCTCTCATGTTTCCCCACACGGCTGGGCCCCCCTTGTACCGCTGGGCTCAGTGGCAGAGATTCTCCGGGCACAGACTTGCTGGGTTTTGTCCCGTCTCTAGATGATCACCGCTCTGGGGAAGACGTGGCATCCCGAGCACTTCACCTGCGCCCAGTGTGGACAGGAGATGGGCACCAGCCCTTTCTTCGAGCG